TGTGTGCCAAACTGCGATTGGCTCGATCCGGATACGGACGCTTTCGAAAATCCACGTTCAAAATGCACTGGATTCTAGTATGCAGTGATACGTCGGGCGGCAACATATCCGGAAAGCGGCGTGGGTTTAGATCGGTTCAACCGTTTTGACGTGATGGTCAAAATAGGTTTTTCATGCGATCGACCACACTCTCGACTGCGTCGCTGAACCGAGTGACCTCTCTACCGCAACTTGGATACCTTTCTACTGCAGCAGCGACAGCCCTTTCTTTACTCGACGAGCTGCATACGATGTGCATGGCGGCGATGCGTTGAAGTCGCACGTTTGACGTGGTCCAAGTGGGGTTGAACCTATATGCGTTAAACCCATGTCGCAGAATCGCTGCCAGCGACGTTGGCAATACTACGATGGAGCCGACCTTCCCTCCGCTCTCGCGGCTCTTTGTCGTCTGCGGCCGCAGCTTTGACGCGGATGGCCTCGAGGCCGTCTTTGCCACGCATGGGCCCGTGGCCTCCGTGCGCATCGCGGTCGATCGCTCCCACAAGTCCCGGGTACGTGGCGCCTGCCATGGCCGACCCCATGATTCGCCTTTAGGGCTTTGCGTTCGTCCAGTACGAGAAGGCGTCGGACGCCGCCGCAGCGATCGACGCGCTGCATGGCCTCGTGCTCGAGGACCAGCTATTCAAGGTCAGCATTGCGCACGCGTCGGCGCCACGCAAGACGAGCCTCACGCGCAAGCACGCGGCCGAAGACGACGAGAGCGCGCAGCACCACGGCAAGCGCCAACGCGACGACGCGGGCCAGCGCGTCATCGCCAAACCGATCGCGCTTCTCGAGCCGACGGCCTCGGATGCTTGCGCGAGTCCTTCCGTCGAGGCGATTGTCGCCGCACTCGTGGCCGAGATGGTCGATGGCCTCGAAGCGGCGCTGACACCGCCCAAGCCATCGATCGTGAAGCGCAAGTGCTTTGGCCAAGAGTCGACGCGCTTCAAGCAGCCCAAGCGCGGGACCGAGCCACCGAATGATGACGACGACGACGTCCGCAAGGACAAGCCCTCGGCCGAGACCGGTCGCGCGCAGCTCAAGCGCGGAAGCGCCAAAGCCGACCATGCGGGTAGCAGCAAGCGCACGGAGAAGAAGCGCGCGCCGCCAAAGCCGCAGTCACCGCGCGTCAAGCTCTTTGTCACGAGCCTCCTGGACGTACGCGACCTCCTCGTGTGGAGTTCCTCCTCGGCTGATGCGTCGGATTGGTCTAGTACACGCACCAGGAGCTCGATGCCATGTTTCGCGTCTACGGTGACCTCGACAGCGTTGCGCTCGTTCCGTGCCAAGGCAAGCTGCGCACGATGGCATATGTGACCTTCACCAAGGTTGGCGAGTGCTTGTTGGTGTGTGCGGGCGCGTAGTAAGTGTCTAGGCGTCCACCGCGCACATGGCCATCGAGTCGTTCCAGGACGATCCGTCGTCGCTTCTCACGGTGAGCTTCCAGGATCTTATGCACATATCCGAATCAGAAGGTATCCCGATAGGTCGTGCTGGCCGATACGCCGCCGCGGCGCCCGACGCTGCAGCGACCGCCGGATGCGTACTTTGCTGCCCCGTACGACGCGTCTCCGGCTGCCACGTATACCGATCTGATTGGTTTGGATGCTTGGAGGAATAGACCCGAACGCAACTGGCTCCTCGTCGAGTACGAAGCGACCTTGTCGACCGCGATGCTCTCGCAGTGCATGTCGGCGTGCCCCGGCATGGTGCTCATGGACATCAAGATCAGTGGCGACACCAACGCGGCCAAGGTATGGACGCGCGTGGACATAATAGTGTCTGCTATCTTGTCGTTTGAAAAAAACACGTTGGGGGTAGGGTATCGTCTACGTCAAGTTTGCGTCGGAGCGCCATGCGCGCGGGGCCATCGACTTGCTCTCGGGCCACGCCAGCATTGGGACGATGGATTTGATTCCAGATCCATCCCGCGCATATCTTGCGCCGCCTCTCGATGTGGTATCGTACAGCATCGAAAACGATGCAAAGGACACACCAGGAATGGTGTAGGACCTGCACGCAGTCGAGAGCCAATTCGCCCACTTGATGTCGACGCGACCGTACGTCCCGCCGCTGCACGCGTACCCGCGGATCGAGCCGGCGTACCCTGTCTACGAGTACATCGAACGCGAAATGCGAATGAGAACTGAGGACCCTGTAGGTATCCGCCGTATGCGGTACCGCCCATGTATGCGGCGCCGCCGTTGCCGACCGAGGACGTTGGGACCAAGGGCATTTGGCTCCACATCACGTCGACGTCGCCGACGACGCCCTTGGACCAGGCCACGCTCGAGGTACAGTTAATGCCCTTTTCTACACTAAATTATACCAACTTATTGTGTGCGTAGGAAGCTTTGGCGCCGCTCGATGTGCTGCAGCTGGTCGTCGACAGCGACATTGACGCGTCGGCCAAGGTGGTTGAGATGGTTTTTGGTGCAAAAGGCGATGGGACATGTCTAGTTTTCCGATGCCAACGATGCGCTCTTGGCGATCCACGCGCTGACGCAACCCGGCTCTGCGTACCACGTCAAGCTCAGTCGGACGCCGTCGTCGCTCCGTGTCAACAAGAAGGCCAAGACGCACTACTGGCCGCATGGCTAACTGTTGACGACGATCCTACCCTAACCCTATTCTAACCAAATCGTCCCATCGGAGAGGACCCTACAGCTGATGCAACGCGCTGTAAAGTTGATGGTCGCGACAAAGGACTTGGTGCGGACAACGGCGGGAAGCGTTGAACTGCCAGGTTGCTGCCGCTGTATAGGCTTGAACGCATGTCTACCAGGGTATGAGTTATATCTGGTTTAGACAGGGGGTAGTAGATCGACAAGGTTTACAAAGGGCATCGAACCGGTTGAGAGGGGGGGCTGCATGATTCACACGTCGATGAACCAGGAGGCGCCTTGGCCGAGATTTCGCCATTGGCAACGCGAACCCCAACCCGAATCGTTCTATCTATCTATCTATCTATCTATCTATCTATCTATCTATCCACCCATCTATCCATCGACGTGCTGGCTTTACCGGCATTGCATTCGACTCTTCTTTGTCGTCGACGGTCGTTGGTGACAGACCCGAAATGCTAGCATTATGAACCCGATCTGGTAACCTTTCCTATCCAAACACTCTGTACCGACAATCTATCTATCTATCCAGAGGTCGTCGTCACATCGATCTTCGTCCATCGGTGAGTCGTTTCACCCCGAAATGACATCGGTCATTGGCCGCGCGGCAGCTTTTTGCGCGTCATCAGCGGTGGAGGCGACGATGGACGCCTTCATCGCGTCCGCTCCTCGCACAGATGGACACACGACCTTATCGTAAACTTAGGCGGCGCGCATCTGCCTTTCTCCACGAAGACGACGATGACGAGGATGGCAAGAGACGCGATGCATCCGAGCACAAGCACGAGTACATGGAGATCTTCCGTGACTACACCGCTCTCTTCGAGTCCCAGCTTCAAGGTGCGGCATCTCGAGACCAAGTAGGATTGCGATCGAGCCGAGTGTGGTAGGTTTCCTGGACGAAGAGGACATTTCCGCCAATGCGTTGTACGCGGCGTGCCGAGAGATATATCAACGACAAGCGCCGCAACGATGATGCGTACATCGGCCCCTACGACTGGTTTCTGGAAAAGCTACTGGCGGCGCTCGAGTACGACGAGTTCTACGCACTCATGCAGCGAGCGTCCACACAAAAAACGCGCAAGTGGTTCCATGGGCATCGATGCAAGACACGACTGAATCGTTCAAGCCTAGATTTCGTCTGCCATGCAGGTCTACTCGTTCATTCTTGACGACGGGTGGCACGTGTGGTTAACGAACTCGGAGGACACACATCTAAAATACGTAAATGGTAGTCGTCGGTGGCGTCTCTCGTCGTCTGTATACAGAGCTCCATTTTTCTAGTATTGTACGATGACAATTCGTTAATACGCTTCTAGAGGGTTGATCACGGTCACTGTCAACGTGTCATTGCCGGGAAAGAGGCGAATGTCGGGGTAGACATCTGCATTGCGCCCCAGGTACGTCTGGACGGTCGCCACTTTTTGGAATTCGACATTGCACTTGTCGAGGTCGTCGCAAGTAGCTCGTGAGATAACCACATGCCGCGTGTTGCCTTCCCATCGGAGCTGTAAAATACCCGGCGTCGCAACCCGGTCGTCGTCGTCGTTGCTCAGTCCATCATGGTGCCACATGCAGTCTTCAATGAGGCTCCAAAAGCAGTGCCGCGGTGCGATCCCGAGACCGATCCGGTACACGTCGGATGTCCACACTGCAAACTCGTTGACGGCGTCCACGCCCACGAGCGTTGGCGGTAGCAGCGGCGACGTGCCGTTATCAATCAGATCTGTCGGCACAAGTGTCGCAACCTGCGCGTCGTCGCCAAACACGATCGACAGGTCGCTCCGGTCCACATCCCAAAAGACACGTTCGCGCAAGAACACCGACGCGACTTGGACGTCCGAATTCATCGCATGCTGAAAAGCGAGCGAGACCGGCGGCAGCGAGAGGCGGAAGAAGGCAAAGGTCCGCCGGAGGTGGTGGCTGCTGGCGACCGTGCCATCGCCGCACGGTGCGCCGGCCTCGAGCCGCCCCGTGCGAAGGTACTGGAGCACGAATGGGATGTCTTCGGGGCCCCAATCAAAGAGGTAGGCACCTACAGCAACAGTGTATGATGAATAATAGTACATCCGTTTGACCACTGACCCGACTCGTCGCGGGGCCAGTTGGGGGCCGAGAGCACGACGGGGAAAATCGAGTCGAAGCGTCGGAGGAGCGTCGCTGTCGTCGTCTGAAACGTCGCGCCGCCGACGTTGAGTCGCACGAATGCAATCGGCACGGTCGAGAGCGAGCTCGAGAGCACTTGGAAGCGCCAGTACATGAGCACGAGCATCGCCATGCTCAGTGCCGAGACCGCGAACGGGATGAGCTTGACGAGCGAGTGGACGAGCACGGTGGAGGGCGGCGTCGCCTCCATCGGTCGCGCACTCATTTTGGTTTGTCGCGACCTATTTTTACGCCTCCAAAGGTGGCGCAACCGACGCGTAGAGGGGGATCGCGCCGCTGCGACGCTACATGGATTGCACGCTAGCATTTTGGGCCGCCTTGCCGACGGCTTTGGCTTTGGTCGCAGTGCTCTCGTATAAGGGTACTATATAAAAGGAAGTACCCTTGTTTCGCATTGCATCCTTGGTTTCGACAAAGACGACGTTGTCGTTTTCGATGAGCATATAGGCATCCCCTCACCAGCTAGCCTCATTTAACCCTCCGAGGACTAACGGTACGCCCAATGTACAAGGCCACGACGCATGTACCATCGACGTCATGGTCGCGTGTGTTGCCGAATCGGGGCTGTTGTTAACCATGCTTCCAAGCGCACCGCCGCCATCGTTGATGCCACCAGTGCCTTGGACAGAGGCGCTCGAGACAGCCGAACTTCGGCCTTCTAGTACTCATGGGGCAAAGAGGGATGGCATCTGCAGGCCGTTGGGGTGTGGCGTTGCGTCAAGAGTAGCCAGTCGTGGCCGGTCGCACACATGATGTGGATGCGCGATCGCTCTCTGCACCAAGAGCGCAACTTCGGTGTGGCCATGCCTTGGACCAGCATTCTTGGTCAGGCTGTGCTTTGATTAGTGTATTTGGATGAGCGACCTACATTGTGTGTGAGATTTTTGAAATCTTAAAAGATATGATATCAGACCAAGCGCCGCAAGTTGCTGTACTGTACGAACGGGACGAAGAGTTTATTTTGGAACGAGCGTTGACTGTGAATTCAAGTGGCCACATTGACCCTTCGCTCTACGTGTCATGAGGCTGGTCGGGAAATTGCCGGTTCTATTCCATCTCACTTCGATACAACTCGATCGCTGACGGGCACGGCGATGAAGTAGGTCGTGAGACCACGAGCAATAAGCTACGCGCCAACTGGCACTGAGGACCCTTCGAACGACCCGCCACGGCCACCGACGACGCGCTGCCGGCGCTTGATGACGATGCCGCTACAGCAAGCATAGCCGCCTTTGTCTCGAGCAAGTGCCTGAAGCGCAGGAGCTTGTAGTCCACCATGGAGTTGCGCGTCGACGAGGCGACGAAATGATGTTTGGAAGCACCACAGGTGTTGATGCACCCACCGCTGATTCCAAGCAAATCGCCAGCATGGGCCACGTGTACGCTAAGGATGTTCACTATCTTGTCCTCGCGTAGAGCCGGGGATGGCCTAAAGCAAGCCACAGCGACGGACGAGATGTCTTGACACTGACAGCTGCATAACCAAACAAGACAGCTCTGGCTACGAATAACTCATTTCAAGAACAGAACAGGCATTTCCCAACCACCTTGTCTATGTCGGAGACCGCAGTTACTAAACGAAACGGGTGCTATAATGGTTGCATGTGTTGAAAGGCAGTTGTGTACTTTGAAGGCCATGGCATCGGAACCGCGCCAGCCGACGCGACCGTCGTTCTCGCGCCAGCCGACGCGGTCGTCGTTCTCAGGCCAACCAACAACGCGGTCGTCGTTCTCACGGTCTCTCTCGGGGATGCTCGTCAAGTCCGTCTCGGGCGCCCTCGCACCGACCAAGTGGCTCGCCAAGCCGTTTGAAGCGACCGAGGAATTCTCAGGCGATGAGACGATCCAAGCACTCAAAGAGTGCTTGCAGTGCCCGATTTTGTGCTTTTGCCTCTTGAAACACGTGCTCTCGACCATCTTCTTTTGTGTCATGTCCATCTCGCTCCTAACACTCACACCCAACGAAGCCGCGTACGTAGTACTGGTCGATTCACTCGGTTTTAAACTCGAGTTGTAGAACCCTTCAGATTTACTCCCCGTCAGCCACGACGGTCTACGATCTTGTCTCTGCTGTGGGCCACGGCTACGCCATCGTCGAGCTTATCTATCAGTACCTCTGGCGCTTGGAACCTAAAACACAAGCGCGGCCACGTTCAGGGCTGTGGCGCCAGTGCCTCAACCGCATTCAACAGTCGCGCACCGCGACATGTACTCGAAAATGTTATCTCTCTCAGAACTTAACTACGACGCCTCTTACTAGGCTGGTGCCAACTGCTCGAGATCAGTGCGCAGTCGTACCAAGCGTGGAGCCTCTCGTACATGGTGTCGTCGATGCCGGTCGTCGCCCTCTACACCGCGTGCATTGCGCTCAACGCGATTCTCTCGCCATGGCTGCTGTGTTCTCGCATCGCCTATGTCCACAGGACCCTCCGTCTCTTCATCAACGGCGTCTTTGGGTGACCTTTCTTTTTGAGCATTTGACACTATCTTTCATTACTACATGGTGTAGGTTTACGCTCAATACTGGATTTCCCCTCATCGAGCTCGTGCCCCGGCTTCTCAAGCGGCGTTTGACGCCCCGGGCGCACATCTCGCAGCTCCGAAACGACCCGCTCTGGATCACAACGATCGTGCTGTACACGCGCGGCTTCAACGCGACGACCGGCGTTGGCCTCATCGTCAAGATTGTGAGCACCTTGCTCAATTTCTGGACGCTCCGACTTTTAGTGTCGTCCATCTGGGGAAACCCAAAGCGCAAGCCGGTGTCGTTCAAGCTGGGTCCACGCTTGAGTCAGGTTATTCCATCACCAGGAATCGGGCCTCCCGAGCAGGAGGTGTCGCTGCGACGCAACTCTCGCATCGTATCGCTCGCCCAGCTGCCGCAGGCGCGGTACTGGAATTTTCGCATCTCGGGCACTTCCAAGGTGCTCTGCACCATCATGGGAGCCTGGGGAGCGCTGCTTTTCGCGGCTACGGGCCTCTTGATTGCACAGCCGCCGAGTGCTTTGTGTCCGTCCGACTGTCTCCTTCACGTGACGCCGCTCTTTCACCTCTCGTGCGACTGCGTCTACTACCGACACGTGTGTGAGAAGAACGCGAGTTCAAACCTCACCGCGTTGATGTCGCCGTCGCGGCTCGGGGACGACCTCTTTTTCTTGGAAATTGTCCACTGCGCACTCCCCAACGGTCTTCCCCCGGCACTCTTGCTACCATTCGAGTCGCTTTTGGCCGTGCGTATTTTGCACTCGAACATGACAGCCTACGATGTTTCAGCGCGCTTCCTCCCGACATCCCTCGTGTATTTGGAGATTCGGTACTCGCAGCTCACGCAGGTCCCCGCCATCGTTGCTACGGCGCTACCCCCCAACTTAATGTACCTCGCTCTCGACGGCAACGCTATCAAGCATGTCCCAAGAGAAACGCTGGCGGCGTGGCGCCCGCTGACGTCCTTGCACATGTCCGAGACGAACATTGCAGACGAGGTGTTTTCTGGTGTCGTCGAGGTGCTGCCGCAGCTCACGGAGCTGTCACTGCACCACACGGCCGTCACCACGATCCCCATGCGGCTGTTTGATCTGCCGCTGCTCACCCATGTCTTTCTCTCGTCGACAGCCATTTCGGCGCTTCGAATCCCATCGAACGCGTCAAGTCCGCTGCTGCTCCTCGATGTGTCGTGCACGGCGGTTGTCCCCCACGGACTCTGGCCTGCGTACGTTGTCCAAGGCCGCAATGCGACGTACTGCACCTCCCCGATGCGTGCAAAAGAGTGCTCGCCGGCCTTGTTAAACAACTATTTGTGTGACGTGCCGTGCGCCACCATCGAGTTGAAAGGCGACGACGGCGCCTGCGCTCCGTATTTCGAGGTGGCGTAGCGTAGTCAATAAGAGTGTGCAATGTCCACGTGTCGTGTGTGTGTTATTACCCCACTCAACTTTTAGAAAAGGTCGAGGAAGTGTCTTCGCCGAGGCCTCGAATCCTTCGCTTGACCTCAGTAACCTATCGAAAAAATTGCTGCAATCCTGAGGGAGAGTTTGGAGGGAACCAGCTACTAGATGGTTCAATTCCCTAAATCAAGTCTGACGATCAATGTGCACGTCAGAATCGCTAGGATTTCCGCCCGAGTTTCTCCTATTCCGGCATATAGCTCACCATCTTACGGGTACCAACATATCTGCGCATACTCAACTCTTTTGCCGTAGAGTCCATATGGCAAAAGAGTTGGGTCTACGACGTAGACTCAATATCGGGCGATATGCGCGGACTTTAGTAGTGTCCTCGAGCTAGTCGCGACGATTGAAACGTTGGTATCGGAGGCCGCTGGAATGCATACGTCTCGCGTACAGTCGATGTGGCGCGTGGCCATGGCACGGACGCTGCATGCCTAATTGTCGTCACAAGAAGGCTGTGGATGGATCCAGTTCATCCCTTTTCTAATTTAGATCAACGACAGAGCTACCGCCGAGCTCTTCCAACGGCAACGACAGAGACGATGGAGGTTTCGAGACACCTTGCAACCGTCGTACGTGACGTGTGCCGTTCGACATGCTACTCTCGTCGACCTCGCCGAGAAATACCGTGCTCGCGTGGACGCAGCCTGTCAAAGCGGACGCAATCGTCGTCCTCAAAAGCTACGTGCGCCGACCCGTGCTCGTCTTTTGCTTGCTCAAGCATGCTCTCTCGGCGATCTACAGTGGGTTGGTGCTTGGCTCGTTATGGACAATTACGTCCGCAGAAGCCCAGTCCGTCCAAGCCACGACGCTTTCACCGTCTTTGATTGCGTGATGTAGGACCGTTCAAGTCTACTCGGTGCACGCCTCGATCGTCGTTAACGGTGCGCTCCTTCTCGCGCATCTCTGCCGGCTCGGTCCTTTGCTGCCCCTTCTCCGGCGCTCGCAACGACGCACGCAGCATCGCCCGTCGGCTCGGTTGTTATGGCTCGAGACCCGCACCGCGTCCTGTACGCGCGCACTTGTACACCCAAGGGCCTGTACACGCCTTATTCTAGGTGTGTTTCAAGCGCTCGAACTTGGCATGCAGTCGTTCCAAGCGTGGCGACTGTCGTTCTACACCACGTCCATGACAGTTGTGTGCATCTACACGAGCTGCACTGCCATCAACTGCCTCGTCTCGCCACTGCTCTTGACGTCCCGGGCACCTTTTGTCCACAGGACGCTTCGTCTCTTTGTGAACGGCGTCCTCGGGTATTGGAGACAACTTGTCTGCATAGCTATCGACACATTGTACGCGTAGGTTTACGCTCAACACGGCCTTTCCGCTGCTCGACTTTGGGCCTCGCATGTATGCCAAAAAATTTCAGCCGATCGCGATCGCGTCGCAGCTGCGCAATGATGCGAGCTGGCTCACAGTCACATCGCTGGGCATGCGTGGGTACAGTAGCAACACGCTCCCAAGCCTCGTGTGCAAGGTGCTTCTGGGAGCCTTGAACCTCTGGACGATGCAGCTCTTGGCGCAGTCGGTCCTCCAAATGGCCCCCCGCGCCCGTGCGTGTGCTATCATGGCCCCCCCACGGACCATCGGTACCGTCTCTCCCCACAACGAAAAGGTGACATCCCGCCTCGTGTCTTTTTCCGAGCTACAAAAGTACTGGAATCGACGCCCCACTCGCCCTGCAAAAACCATTTGTCTCGCGCTCATTGTGTGGGGTCTCGTCTTGCTCACCAATCTCATGTACCCAAGCGTTTTCCTTCCTATAGTGGACATGTTGTCTATAAAACGAGTAGATGGCTTCTCGTCTCCAGAAGCGTTTGTCCGACGACGTGCAAGGTAGCTGTGACGCCGCTCTTTCAAGATACGACCTGCTACTGCGCGTACGCTCACGTGCACTGCACGACAACGAACGACGACGACAACGACGATGGCGGCGTTGCATTTCTGCAGTCGCAGCTCGCACCGCTGGGAACCCGTCTCTTTTACCTTGAAATCGACCACTGCCCACTGCCGCACGGCGTCCCCGCGCATGTCCTCGCGCCCCTCACTACGCTCTATGCCTTGCGCGTGCTCTTCTCCAACATGACGTCGTTTGATGGCGTCGGCCTTCCATCGTCGCTCATGGTCCTCGAACTTCGGTACAGTGCATTGACGGTCGCCCCACGGTAGTCACGTCGGCCTTGCCGCCGATGCTTCTCTCCCTCTACCTCGACGGCAGTCGCATCCCGCACCTCGGTCTCGACGTTATCCGCCACTGGCGACAGCTCACGACGCTTCACGTCACCGAAACACCCATCGGCGACGACGATTTTGTCACCATTGTGCGCGAGCTGCCCAATTTGAGCGAGCTCGCACTGCACCACACGCGAATCACTGCGCTGCCGCCCGACCTCTTTCGTCTGACGAGCTTGCAGACTGTGTTCTTATCGTCGTGTGCGATCACCGCCTGGCCATCGCAGCCCGTGACGCCGCTCGATGGGTTTCTGGATCTGTCGTGCAATCCGCTCACCCGCGCGCCGTCGTGGGTGCAGGTCGATGCTTTGTGCGAGGCGTCCTGCAGTAGCCTCTTGCGCACCAATGGCCTCTGCAACTATGTGTGCGACGACGCGCCGGCCTGCGCTCCGTACTTTTCCTAGCCCTAGCGAAACCCCCCAATATGGTCCATCGCACAACACGAAAGGAATGCACGTGTCTTGGATTACGTAGCATCGTCGCGCGGAGAGTACGACTACGTATCATAGTGCATGCCGGGGGGCGGGGGGTCCTTAAACACCTTCTTGGGGGGCGTCGTTGGCGCCGGCTCCTCCAGCTGCGGCGCCGACGACGCATGGGCAAACGGACGCGGTGGTGTCATCGGGTGGTGGGTCGCATCGTGGTGCGTGAGCAAGTCGCTGTACCCCACCAAGGTGGCTTTCGGCGCGATCGAGCACGTGTTGCGCTCGTACGAGTGCGTCTGCGTCGCCATCTGCGCCAGCGCGCAGCCGCAGCAGCAAAAGGTGAGCAAGCCGTCGGTCGCGACCGAGCCCGGAATCGAGAGCCGCGTGCGCAGCTTGTAGCGCAAGAACCACATGAGCAGCCACGCCAGCGCCGCGCCAACGCCCGTGCCGTAGCAGAGGGCGAGGCCCAGCAGCATCGGGTAGTAGCTCGCGACGCCGAGACGGGCCATGGTCTGCGCCATCGACACGCACGGGCAGAAAAAGGCCAAGAGGCAGTTGGGCACCACGTCCGTGAGGCAGCCAAACACCGGCGCCTCCCAGCGCCCGACCACGAGCCCATTCTCGTTGCGCGGGCGGTCGCCCGTCAGGTACGTGGTCGTCGTATCGCGGTGGAGTTCGTCGTCGTCGCGGACGTTGTCGACCTTGGGGCTCAGCGTCTGCAGCGGTGTCGCCTTGGGTTCGAACATTGCAGCGCCAAAGCAAAAGTGAGCAATTGGAAGGCACAAGGAATGGCGCCGAGGGTTCGCGCCAACGGTCTATTCGGCCTCGTTCCCGTGGGACGAGGCGAGGCACATGCCCCGTTGGGACAGGACGCCGCTTCCGATCGCTTCCGACCTCGTCAACGGCGAGGTACTCGCGGCGTGGAGGCCAAGAAAGACGAGTCAATGGCTGTGAATGCAAGCCGGCACGTGGGAATCCATGGCACCACGGTGCCGTCAAGCGTTCATGCAATGGCTGAAAAGTCAAGTGCAAGCGACTCACCGTTGGTGGATAGTTCAGACGGGTGCATTTGACGTTTAACCCTAATCCGTTGGTGGGAAATGTGCTCCGCACGTGGCCCAACAAGCTTTGGCCCCTGTCTCGGACCACCGGAGCTTTGGCCCCTGTCTCGGCCATGTAACCGTGAAACGCAGCATCCGATGCCGCTGCGGTCGGCGACGTTTTGCCGTGTGGCGTACGACGCCCACGTCCAAGGCCTCGTCCACCGCCGTTTCAACCCGATCTCGGCGTACACCGAGTACACGCTCGTCGAAGACTTGACGCTCTACGACCTCTTTCGAGCGCCGCGTCCCGTACACACGTCGGCCGTGGTGGCGGTGGTGGACGTGGACGCGGAGCTGCAGTGCCCCATCTGCCTCGGTGTATTGCAGCACACGACCGTTGTTCCGGCGTGCTTGCACCGCTTTTGCCGAGTGTGCATTGACGCTTGCCTCGCATGCGGCAAGCACGAGTGTCCAACGTGCCGCGCGGGTATTCCAAACAAGCGCGCGCTGCGTGCGGACGCGACCTTTGATGCGCTCGTGCAGCTGCTGCACCCGCCGTTCCCACCGCTCTCTCCAAGCAAAAAGCGACCAGCACCGAACGGTACGCACATCGTGGCAGAAACCGAGAGCTGGAGTCATGCTGGATGGCGTAGACCTGGCCAATTCGACGACGCTTGTTGTCGCGTTTGCCCAGCTTGGTGCAGTAGCACCGTCTCAATTGCAGTGGACGACGACGTCGGAGGCGACCGTGCACGAGGCCAACGAGTGGCTGCGAGAGCACCTTTCTGTGCCGGCCATCGTGTGCACCAAGGACGGCGCCGCCCGCCCCCTCGACGCCAAGCTCGTGGATGCAATGACCGAGCACATGACGCTGTACTACCGCACGACCGTGCGCCGAGACGCTTCGTCCTAATTGTCTCAAAGAGGCAGCTCATTGGCTATCCTTGTATCTTGCGCCTCTTGGTCGATCGTATCAACTTGATCGATTGCAGTCGATACTCTCTCCGTCCACCGTGATTGGATACAGACAGCAAAACCCCAACTTGATTTGGACACTGTATGTCGGCTAAACATGCCATTGAACGGCACTAAGAACTGATGTATTTGGGTGCGATCTTGCGAAAGGACACTCTTCGTGGCGCTTGGCCAGAGTCGAATTTGCCCCCGATTGCGCAAGTGATGGACCACGGACCGACCGGAATGGCGCATCCGAGTGTCAACGTCGACGGCATCGTCACGGGCCGCTGGAAGATTGGCATCTTTGGCTGCCTTGACACGTGCATTCCCAACAGTACGCACTTTTTTTCATATGTGATGCAGGATTGCTCAAAGTGCAAGCTAGCGGCGATGGTGACGTTTTGCCCGTGCGTGAGCCTTGCGCAGGTCACGACGCGCATCGGGTATGGCCAGTACTTTCTGCACGTGCTCCTCGCGTCTTTCGTCCTCTACATCCTGTACCTCATCTTGTGCTTCGTCGATGCGATGTGGTTCCAGATCGTCGTCGGCATCCTCAGCTTTCTCATGTTTCTCTTCATGTGCCACCTGCGCTGCAAGGTGCGCGACCTCTTCCACATTCCCGGCTCGATCATCGAGGATTGTCTCTGCGCGCTCTTTTGCGGCTGCTGCTCGTTGGCGCAAATGGCGACCCACGTCGAGTCGTACAAGCCCGGCGACTGCCAGTTTGAAGCCCGCGCGACCCTTCCGTCGTTCCAAGTCTAGTCGCGTTTTCTCACCAGTACCCTCGTCATACAATTGCTTTATGTTGTCATCTGATGATTTGAAAAGACTAGTGTACGAGTAGATCTCTAAAGCGTGGGAATAGAACCGGTGGCGGCAAGCCGTTGACGCAATCCCACGGTCGCGACAATTGCGACCATGGCGAGTGATTGTGGCGCAGTGCACGAACCTTGACAGCCTAAAAGCTTTGAGAACGCAATTGAGCTCAAGGAGAGACACCAGCTGCTCACAATCCATCGAGCGGTTAGTGATTTTGGGTGCAGCCCCGTGTTAACGATCCAGAAGTCGATCGCTCCACTTTCGACCACCATAGTCGCCGACTCGACGACCAACAAGCGATAGCATCGTCTGCCCCACGCGTCCTTGCGTACTCTCCTCCCAAGGGTCAATATAATGAATTGTATTGACACTTGCCGATGTGTGGTCTGGCGCGTGCTATTGCATCTGGGCAAGGTGTACATTCCTCGTATCAGCATCTTGAATCTACTGCCCAACATCTTATAGGGTTGAAAGTCTCTACAATTGCACTGCACGCGTCGTGAGTGCGTTCATGGTGTAGTATCAAGTGACCTTCAACAACGATATAGAACGCACCAAAACGGCGCGTAAAAACGCTTGGTTAGGAAACGATCGCGCCGCTTCGAGTCCCCATGCCAACGCTTACGCGGGACGTGTACATTCGCATCGCGCCGCCGGGGCACCATGGCCGACGCATCAACTGCAAAGGCTGCACCGTCTACACGCCATCGTGCGACGCTTGCGTCAAGAAGCGAAAGCGCGCCAAGCACAAGGCCGCACGGCAGCGCAAAATGATCTGGAACGTCGACTCGCTCAACCCGCGCTGGGACATTCCGCGCCAAGTCAAAGCCGAGCTACCGCGCCTCGTTCTCGGTATGTTCCTACCAGGTTAACCCTACGTTTGTGGAGATTTTGTATAGAAAAAAGTGTCGGTATCGCCCCTCTCGACGTCTTCTTGCAGTGCTCGGGCCTGACACTGCCCCCGCCGCCATCCGATATGTCCTTCTCGACGACCAAGCATTTGCTTTCGGCATCCAATGCGGCGCTAACAGTCGGCAGTGTCAAGTCATGTCCGCCGCATTCTCGATCCATCGTGAAGTGTCTCACGCTTCGTTGTGCAGTAGGGTTAGGGGAGATGAACCCGTTGTCGGACGACGAGCAAAGCAACTACTTTGGTGCGACGGGGCGGCGCGAGCTCAAGCAAATCTATGCAAAAATGGCGTCGCAGCAGGTTCATTTTGAGCGTGTTTTGAGGGTCGTTGCTTGACAAGTGTCGTCTGGTCTAGTACCTGCAAATGGATGGTACGGACGGCCTTGTCGACAAGTTCAAAAGCATGCTCGCGTCGCAAAGCGAGCCGTCGCCAGATCCCATTGGCATGTTCAACGCCCGAGGTAGTTCTTTTGGCGTTCAAACGCCGTCTTAAAAAACCATAGAGGCGCTCACGGCCCGGCACAAGTTTGTGTCCATGTGCTTGGAGCACGAGTTGCCACCGTGTCTTCGGCTCATTATCCGCAACAAGGTACAATCACGATTGTTGTGAAAGTGGAAAACCACACATTGCAATAGATTTCACCCGAAATCAACGTGTCGCACATGTCGATGGGCGATGAATTGGCCAAAAGTAGAAAATATGCTGGCGTCGCCTGGAATTGAACCTCCTGCCTCAGTTTTCAGCACTTGTCTCGTCGAGCTACCTATGGTGCTGTCGCTCAACGCGCGCAACAATCGCCTCACAGATCCAGGGCTCCAAGCCCTCGTCAATGTAGACTGAAGATGCATTGTACGATGGCATAACGTGTCCTCTCTCTACACCTAGGTGGTTCGCAGCAAGCCCGATTTGGTCGCGCTCGACTTGTCCGAGAACAAGGTGGACGGTGACGCCGCAGTGGCACTCGCCGAGTACCTCGGGAGCGCACATTGCGGCCTCACGACACTGATTCTGAGCACATGCGATATCGGTGCCTCCGAAAGTGTCTTTGTCTGCCCTAAATGTGCGTGCGATTAGACGATGGCGAGCTGGTCCCGTTTGCGGACGCGATGAAAACCAACCGCATCTGCACAACGTTGAACCTGAGCCGCAATCTCATTGGAACCTCGGAAGCGCTCAACGCAGTGCAGCCTGACTTGGTCACGGGGGGCGAGGCCCTTGCGGATATGCTGGCCGCCAACACGTACACGTGTCACTTCCATGGGATTTTTCTCATGGTAACCACGCTGTAGTCATCTCACCAAGCTCGATCTATCCTGGAACGTTCTGCGTCTCAACAGCGCGATCCAACTTGGCCGGGCGATTGGCCACAACTATGGTACCTCTCGAATCCCTTCTCGGCGAGGTCTTTGATGGTTCGGAAAAGGGCTAAAAGAACTCAACCTGAGCTACAATGCGTTTGGGAACCTCGGTGCCCAGGCCATCGGTACGGTGCTCGATGCACCAACCATTTGTCTATCGATCGACACTGGCATGCTATTGCTACATCACGTCGTAGGCTGCGCGCTCCAAGAAAACTTCACGCTCGAGAAGCTCGACTTGTCTCAAAACAACATTCCTAGCAAGGCAGCCTTTGTGATTGCCCAAGCCCTCCACATCAACAGCACGTTGACGCAACTTTGCATGGACGGGAATCCTCTTGGTATAGTTCTACACAAGTAGTGTTCAACGTCCACATGTAAACGACGCCATGATAGGCCGCATCGGAGGACGCACACTTTTGCAGGCCATCTCGAGCGCCAGCGACAAAGTCCTCTCCGTCTCCGTCGTCGGGTGCGCTTGAATCACTCAACAAAATGCGAATCGGGTGCACACGCTAGGTGCAACTTTGACATTGACGATTCGAGTCTCTTTGACCCGCAAGACGCGACAGTACGCAACCCCATGAACGCATTGACATTGAATGTGAACGCTAGGGAAAGTACGACTTGGACATGGCCGAGCCGTACGATCGCGCGATCGCTTGCGAGCTTTTGCGATTTGCCAACTCGAAGAAAGGCTGTCGCTTCCTGTCCTTTCTGCACCAAGTGGACAAGGTTGTCGGTATCGTTCCGAGCGCGTTTTTCATGTGGGCGTAGACCACGCGCGATCTCAAGGTCGAGTACCAAGAAGTCGGGCGAGCGCGCGCGCAGCTCATTCGACGGTCTTCGTCACACATGGTGCTTCGTGGCAAGGTGCCCCAAGACAAGCTGGAAAAGCTCTTTCGGTGCGTCGCGGCACTTTGTTGCAAGGCGATTGACGCGAGTAGGACCCTTGACGCGGATAATTCTGGCAACATTGAAGCCACGGAGCTCGAGCGCGGCATGGCCACCTTGGGCGTTCGCTTGCAGCCGGGGGAGGCCGCCCGGTATTCGATGTTTCTGTGTTGATGAGACACGGCTCACAAAGCGCGCCTAGTCTCGTGACACGCTATGACGTGGACGGCACGGGCACGATGGAATTTCCGGAATTCGTCGATCTCATGTCGCAATATTACTTTGACGACAAGCCGACGATGGAGTGGATCGACACGACGTCGGGTTTACCCCTCGCGATTCCCAAGGACGGTCGACTCAAGGTACACAAAGACGGCGCTTCTTACGACTCAATTCTTATTTTCGGTGCACGCAGATCGACTTTATCGATCTGCACATCCCGTCCGAGGCCGACGAAGCCGAGTCCAAGCTCGGTGTCCAGCAGCTCATTGAAAACATCAAAGCCGACCCGAACCAAGTGAATTTGATCAAATTGGCCAAAAGTATCCAATTCTTCAAGCTGATATGTTGAAACAATGGTGCTAGATGGCCTGCACGTGCGTCAGAACGAAGGTCAAATGCTTCTGGACACGCTCGTGTCCAAAATGGACATTGTCCAAGCCCTCGCGCTCATTCTTCCCCACGTCGTACGACGCTTCACAGCCTGCTGCTTGTTGGTCTCAACTCCAAGTAGGTCGATCCCAACCATGCGTGCCCACTGATCGAATCCAATGTGAATGCGGCCCAGCGCTTGCGGTTGCAGACCGTACTCAAAGACATGTGCGTCGGCGTTTCGATCACAAAAAATGGTTGAGCTGAATTAGGTACGGCCCCATCGTGGGCTTGGCCACGGGCCATTACTCGCTCGATCTCGCCGACGACATTGATCGCGCCACGTTTCGAAAAGTGTTTTTTTCGCCTTTTCGTGTCAAAAATGTATAATTGTGTGGTGTAGGTCATGGAGATCAACAACAAAATCATGTATCACCGGCGCACCAACAACTTCAAGGACACGAGTCAGCACGAGAACCACATGGGGTTCCGCAACGAAATCTACAACAGCAAAAAGATCGAGATCACGTCGACGTTTTGTGACAAGTTGCCCAAATTTGGCACGCTCGACTTTGACTTTGTCCAGTTGTCGCGCCCCAAGTCGGGTACACGACCCGCTAAACATACTATGTTTAGTTGCACTGTATGCAATCTAGGAATTCTACCCATGTCGGAAAACCGCTTCCAACAGCTCATCACAAAGCTGTGTTTGGACGCTCTGGACAACGCAACACCCGAAAAACGCCGTCGGCAACCCACTCCCGCGGCGATCAGTCGCCGGCTCAGTCCGCTTGCGTATGATTTTCTGCTCGAGCTGCAGTCGGACAATGTGCGCGTCTCGGACCTCTACGTACACGTGTTTTTTGTTCCTTTTCAAAAAACCAAATATGCACGATCCATAGTCGCGCGATGTGTCGACGCCACTTGTGATTCCTGGCGCGGTCGTGTCACCGGAAGCGCCAAGCCAGGTACGTTGCAAACCGAGCGACCGAGACAAGTGGTGCTTGATATTTTCGGAAGTAGATTAGCTTTACAGGTCGTCGACTGCTCATGGAGCTCCAAGCACTCTTTTGCACGCGGTGGGTCACGACGAGCCAAGTCCGCTTCATCCTCGAGCGCTGGCCAATGGATTTCGGCACGACGCGCGTCGACGCTGTACGCAGCCGCACACGGTGAAGGGTGTGTCAATATGGGCGTAGGCGCTGACGCTCTTCGATCGAACGCTGGATTTGTACAATTACGTCCAAGTGTTGTGGACGCTCTCGGATTCGGAAGTGGCCCAGCTCATCTTTCGTCTCGGCTGGCTCAACCTCTGGAGCCCGCTGTACCCGGACATATATTTTGGTAGAATCCTCCACACTCGGTCGTTTCGTGTGCAAACAATCGCGCCGCCTAGAGCTCGACTTGAGCATCTACGAACAGCGCGAGGTCTCAAAAGTGCTCGTGCAACTTGCGCTCGATGAGCCCGGTACAGACTCGACTCGAATGGAACGCGGTTCGAGCCGCATCTTAGGCGAAAACTGGCAAGACGCCAAGTTTGGCTGGTCGCGCGACGTGCCGATCCCGGGCTGGGTCCTCAACATGTCGTGGCTCACGCCGGGTCTCTACCCGGAGAAAGGGTACCTCTCGGTCGAGTACTACTCGGGTGCTGACAAAGGTATACGACGATTTGTTTTCCAGATTCTAGATCTGGTTGGGTACGATGATGATGACATCTGGTAGGTTGTGGCCCGGTGTGGCCGACGCGCCTCAAAGCCATGAATGAGGTGCTGGCCGAGCCACCGATTCCATTCGACGCGTTTCTCGCGCAGCTCGTCAAGCCGAAGAGAATTCCAAAAAAGAGACCCGACTCGGACCGGAAGCAAACACCGGACGGGGAGCGCCCCCCGCTCACGCGTCGTTCGAATCCCTCCCGCGACGGGTCGGAGCGAGCCACGACGCCACCATCCGCTCGACTACAAACCAAGCGAGATTTATAAGTATATAAGATTGCATGCGTCTCGAATCGAGGATCGCTGCGAAAGAGCATGGTGGACACTGGTCGTGTACGACGCCACGTCATGGCACCGCCGTTTCAGCCAATCCCATTGCAGAATTTGGGACCACGAAGGCAGTGTTCTAATGAAAGTGTTGGGAGTCCAAATATCATTGGCAGCACCAAGTACACCATGCAATATACAACCCAAGGGGACAAGACAATTTTGTTTCCTTGGTGTAAGCCAAGTGTAATGCCAACTCGCCCGCAAACGCACATCAAGAACTATTGGAAATCATACTGCAAGTTATGCATTTATAGAGTATTCTCAGAATGAAACCTGTATCCTCATCATTGTTTTTATATATGTTATAAGACGTCATCTGTTATGAGAGGCCTTGCCCACAGCAGCGCGAACAAGCGTCAGCGGCACTCGAGCACCGGAAACAACCTCGTGGGTCATTCAACCTCGTGAGATTCGAAGGCAGCTGGAATCTCCTCGAGGCATACCCATACTAGAAAGTGGAAGCCATCGCGGGTGTTGACGCAAGCGCTGGTCACGAGGTACTTCAACCTGTCGCTATAAAGCGGCGATGCCGAGCCCCCTCGCTTTCTGAGGCGCCTTCGCTTGGCATCGTAGTCCTCGTGTCATGGCCAATTGTCTGCTCTATGTTGTCGATTAGCTACTCCTGCAACGGCGGCTCGTTTCTGTGTCCAATATGTCGTTGGCGCGGAATTATTAGCTGGCGCCACGTGTTTGAAACGAGATGCAATATGCAAACCTTTATACACTACGCAAGTACAATTATTTCTGTCTTGTTTTTTGAATATGCGTAAATGCCATTTCGACTCTCAGATCGTATTCGGCTTGGACTTGGCACAACTCGCTTTGCACCCAAGGCCGCGGATGGCGTCGTCCGCAGCCCGCGATGCGTCGTCGCTCAAAGGCAACCTCATGATTCTCTCGTACGGTCTCATGGAGTGGGCCGGCCAGAAGGTCGATGCGACTGTCGTCACGCCCTGTACGTCGTCCTGCTTGTCCAATGAATAATCGTGATTTGACTTTGCCGTAGGCGCGCAGATGATCTCGGGCTCGATCGTCAACCCATACGTGCTCAGCGGCAAGATCTGGGACACGCTCAAGGAGAACACGCCGCAGCGCGCCCGCGACGTCTCGCGGCTCTTGAGCCTCGCGATCTCCAATTCGGCGCTCATCCTTGGCAGCGACAACTCGACCGAGTGGAGTGCGTCAACTAAGGTAGGATATCTCATGCTGTGCCTAGGGTGTGCCACGTACAGGCTGCTGAATTAGGCACTGCGCGACCATACGCTCGCGATGGCGGCGACGCCGGAAGGCCAAGCCGTTGTCCAAGACTGCGTCGCAACGGTCGCCAAGGTGCGCGCGCCGACATGAGTCCGTGTGCATCAGCCTCGTGTAGACGTGTCAAGCGCTGAATACGCCAGAGACCAAGGCGGCGACCAAGCAGCTCGCGTCGGCCGTGCAGAGCTGGATCCAAATGCTGGCGACGCCCGAGGTCCGTCCCGCTGCCTTGCAACGTGCGTACCACGCAGCTGCGTCTTAGGGTCTTCAGGTCATTGACGGCTTTGGCGACTGGTGCAACCACTTGACGGACGTGGCCGCGTCACCTGAGAGCACGATTTTTCTTCTCGAGGTCGCCACCAACCTCTGCCACGTCTTGTCGTCCGACTCGACCCGGTACCTTGCAGTGTGCGTGACAGCTCCTGACAAGAACGGGCTTGCATTAGCGAACGGCCCCGCGACCAAGTGACCAAGGAACTCGAAGAGCTCATGCTGTCCAAGTTCAACATGAGCGGGACGCCCGCGGCTACGGACGAGACGCCGCACGACGACAGTACCGAGGATGACGACCAAGCGGACGATGACGCGGCGCTGAGCGACAATGAGACGGACATGGCTGACACGGACAGCGTCACGTCACGCTTTAGCGTTGCGTTTAGCGGGGACGGTGACGAGGACGAGAGCGCGCCGCCGGCCGAGACGCCGATGCCCACGTACACGAGCGACGCGACGCATGCGACGATCCGTCAGCGCCACGTGCGTCGACTCACCAACCAAGCCATCCGCAACGTATGCCATTCGATATTGTTGGAGAATATTGTCATTATAGTGTTTGTACGATACGTAGGTGCCTCGACGCAGCGCCCGGTCGCTGGCGCTGGCGACGACGTTGCGCGCGCACCGACGCAAGCCAACGGTTGCGGCGCCGGTCTCGCCCCTCGA